GCCGGTGAAGCCAAAGATGTAGTTGATAGTCGCTCCGTAAGTACTTTGATGAGTTGCAGTTGTTGCTCAAACATTACTTTGAGTTTTTCTGCCTCCATCTTGCGTCGCCAAATATGTTACGGTTCGACTGCGATGCGAGCAAACAATATGATATGCGGATCGTGGCAATACTCTATCCCCAGCTATGTTGCTTGATCCAGACTCCTAGCACGCAGTAAGAAGACTTGAAGATGCCGGAAGTTTGCTAGCACACATAAAAATACAGAGTTTTTAGATAGATATTGATATCCCCAACAGTTTTCGATCGGCAGTGTTGAAAGATGCAAGCGATCGATCCAGTCTATGTCCAGGAGATTACACAAGCAACGAGATTAAGCTCACAAGCAACAAGATAGACTTACCAAAATCACGGTGGCCTGCTATCTCCAACTCACAATCGCATTCACAGAGTAGGTGAAGGTTACCACCTCAAAGATTTCTAGCAGTGTTCATTGTCGGTCTGGGTTTCGGTGATCCGATCTTTCTCCAGGTGCGCCGGGAAACAATTGTTATATTGGAGGCCGTATCGAGCTGTAATCGAATCGTGGACTAGCTTGGCATTGATGTACTGTGTCTCAGAAACGAGAATTTAAGATGTAAGCACAGTGCTTGAGTCAACCGCCCCGTCAGTCTCAACTCGCGCCCCGTCAGTCTCCACTCGCTTCCGGCTACGCACCTCTGGTGATCCAGAGGCTGCTGCGGTGGGATGTGCAGGGCTTGGTATTGTGCTAAGTCACCGGGCGGAAGTATCCTTCCTTGACTGGATACCTGTTGATAGTCGCCTCTGTGTGGTTCGCCTGGCAACTTCTGTGAAGGAGTCTCACAAGCGGCAAGTTGATAGATGTCTGTTTTCGTGTCTGCCTATACTCCAACTGACTGTAGCTCCGACGCCCTGAATGCCCTGCTGCGGCGAGCTAAAAGCTCAGACATTGTGGTGGTTGCCGGAGATATGAATGCACAAGTGGGAAGGCTTAGTGCATCTGAGACTCAATTGGGAGGTCGACATGGACTGGACTCGCTACGTACGGACAATGGGGAACGATTGCTTCAGCTGTGTGTGTGCTGATCGCAGGCTGTTTTTATGCAGTACGAACTTCCAAAATAGCCGAAGTCGTCTGGCCACTTGGTGTCCTCCAACGACGGG